CAGAGCACAGATGGCCCATTGTGTAGCTTTGTGCTTAATTACAAACAAACATCAAGACTAAAGCTTGTATCAAACATTTACAAGGCAGACAATTCCCACAATCTACATAAAGGGCAGTAGGGAACATTAATTTGTAGACTTTTGTCTTGGCTACAGTTTGGCTAAAACATTTCTAATAAAAGCATTTCATATAATCTTGTGACCAAGTGTTTTTTTTTTTTTTAAATGTAAGACAATGACATAAAAAGTAAACTATATTTTCCAATAGCTTATCTCATAAGATCTTTATTCTTCATATTACTTGAACAGTCATTTTTCAAATTCTAAAATTATGTATATATTTTTTATACTGGTTGTTGTCTTTTATAGCAACCACAGAAATTATTTTGTCTTGACCACAATCAGTGTCAAATTTTGTATTGCAATACTTGTAGCTGTTTTGCTGTAGGAATTGCAATAAGAGGTAATATTGTCTATGACCGTGTTAATTTAAGTTGCAACATTATGGACCATTGCTCGATTGCATGATGTATGTCATCAACCTGTGTGTAGCTTGATCAAATCAGAAAGCCCCATATAAATGGTACTACTCCCTTAGTATCAAGGCATTGATGGTTGTGTATTTGATAATATTTTAATAGCTTAGCCTTGATGTTATGAAAGGTAAGTTAAAACAACTTCATTTGTGAAGATGTGTCTAAAGACTGCTTTGAAAACTTAAATTATAACATAACTAGTATAAAAGCCTGTAAAAATGACAGGAAACCATTGTTGAATGATTAACGAAAAATATATAATTTAACTAAAACGAATTTGCCTGTACCTTCCAAATGTACCTACTCTTCACTTATTTCATCAGTCTCGAAGTAATTCTTTGATCACAACATTTTGAGTAAAAACTACACAGAAAAATGAAATGTTATCATGAATGAAAGTACATGTTCACTCTGAAAGATACTTAAATAGCACTCTTGAGTCTTTCACTGTGTTCTAAGTCAGGAAGTAGAAAACATAGCATGGACATTCCAACACAGATTTTTAACTCTTTTGACTGTACGAAAGATAAAAGATATTTGGTAGTAATAAACGTTTATTTTTCTTTATGTTTTAAAGCCAATTGGGTAATATATGTGTTAAAATAACAAGGGTATTTATTATTTAACATTTATTCACCACTTAAAACTTTTTAAACACTGACTGTATAATGTTAGTAATAGTAGGCCTATTAGTAGTCTAATTTAAGCATTATCCCTAATACATAAATGTAACGTAAGGCTTAGCTGAAACACTACTTGATAAATTTTATTTTGCTTTTATATCACTGAAGTTAACAAAAAAAATAAAGAATAACAAACAAACCTTTCTAACAAATCAACCCAAGTATTAAGCATTCAACATAAACACCATAGTTGGTCTAAGAACAATCAGGTAATAGTTTTTGTTGCTAAGCGATGATGTATATTATTGAGGACTACTAAAAAAGGAGTGTGAAAGTGTTCTTGACAGAGTAACAAAGGGAATAAGCCTTTTATAGTTAGCGATATCAGGTCCATCTAAATGCATTGTGCAGTGTCTTAAATAAAATAAATAAATCCAAAACACAGCTATTACAAGTTTTCTATACATGTTACTCATACTTCTTTGTTTTGTCTGTAATGCTTATGACTAAATGTTATATGGTTGTTGAGGCTATAAATAGAACTTGGTGTGGCACATACATGCCAGAGTAAACAAATTGACTCTGCAAGAACATAGTTACATAACTTGTGCTTGAATTGGCAAGAAATTACATAGCTAGATGGTTCAAATACTTATTTTGGAAATTTGTTGGTCATAAAAAATATTTAAAAATGTGTGTGTATGTTTTTGCATGCTCTAAGAGAACTTGACAGTACCCATCAGAATTCCTATCAAAGTATGGGAGAATAAGGAATTAGAAAATTGTTCGTTTGTATATTATATTTGTATGTAATATATAGTGCCAATTATAACAAATAATTTGCAATGAGTAACACTTAATCCCATGCAGATAAGTCATTTATATTATTGATGGTGGGTGTTTGCAGTTTTAAATACAATGTAATAGTTATTGATCACCATCTTTACACTAGAAATTCTGAGAAAAGTCCAGAAATATTTCTTCAAATTCATGAAAACATTTTGGGAAAAATTTAGAATTTTTTTTTTTTCTGCTGAAAATGTGGGAACCCTTAAAATTGTTGGTTGGACAAAATGCTGTGAAAAACTGGTTCTGAGAAACCATACCATAATGTGCATTCTGCTGGGATGCAAACCACAATATAAATCTGCACCCCTACATCATTGTTCAAAAAGGTATTAGTTTTAGTTTATATTTCTATTCAAGATATACTAGTTTTTTCATAATTTATGTCTTGTTCAGTAAGTTCAAAAATGAATTTCTTCATATAATGTTATCAAACATAATTACATGGAGCATTTTGTTTTTCAGGCAGAAAATTTTGACAGTAGCACCAACCCTGTAGTGGCTCTCAAGGGAGTAAAAGTTTCAGATTTTAGTGGTAAGCTACTGTTTTTTTCTTCTCCTTTCCTTCTTAGTTTGCTTAGTGTAGAAATTGTATTTAAGAACAACTTTATTAAGAAAAGATAACTTAAAATATTTCTTTATTTAAACAATTAAAAAAAGCACTGGCACTTTACTCTTTTTATATTGAGTAAAATATAAACAGGAGATGTTTAGTAATATAATAAAGCTTTATTCGTCCAAACTATGATGCAAAAAATAAAGACCTCTCATCTGATCACATGGCCATAAGACTTCAGTGGAAAGATTCCTGGTCTTCTTAAAAGTGAAGAATGCAATTTGCAGTGCATTTGTATTCTTCAAGGCTCATAACATGTGTAGAAAGTTAATTAATTCACTAACTAGGCAAACTCCAAGTTTATTTTTTTATTTGCAAATTTTCAGCTATTGTGCCATAGTGATCATCAGGACAAATTCATTATAAGTTTTATCAAAATCAGTTCAACTTAAACTAAATTAAATACTCATGTAATATGTATTTATTAATTAACATAACATAATGTTTTGAGACAACATGGGACGTATTTGTCCATCTTGGCTGTTCCATTCTCTAAACTAAAATTATTAATAAATAAATTTAAAAACAAAATCTTAAAGCCAGCCCTTATTATTCACATACTTATCAAGCCAACATCCGAAGGCAGCCCACTCCAAAGGCCAACCACCCTGTTAAAAGAATAAAACTGTCTTAGTTGAAGATGACTCCTACCCTGCTAAAACTTATATTTGTGTCCCCTAGTCCTACTATTCTAACTGTTAAATATGAAAAAAGATGATGCATCAACACTATCAATTCCTTTTACAATCTTAAACACCTCAACCAGACCCCCTCCTGACTCTTCTTTTTTCAAGAGAAAACAGTTTGAGAGATTTCAACCTCTCCTCGTATGACAACCCCTCCATCCCAGGCACCATTCTAGTAACCCTTCCCAACAATTCAATGTCTTTCCTGAGGTAAGGAGCCAGTTTGATAAATTTTGAACAAATAGCTGCTTACTTCAAGACTGTAATTGTTCCTATTACTTTTAAACTAAGTTGTAGTAGGTAAATTTGAATGTTCCTTTTTTAAGACATTAATCTAATAATGTATTTTTAATTTCTACCTTTATAAAGTAAAAACTGTTTTCTAGAAAAGTACATAATTTTATTTGCTTTAAACAAGGGTTAGGTTTCAGAAGTCAACCTTTTGTGGTGGGACTATAGTAATATTTGTTTCCTTTTTTAGTTAATTTCTTTATACTACTTGGAAAACTTTCAGGAGTTTGATAAGAGAAACAAGGGAGTATAAAACAACAACATATTTTTAACAGGAAAATACATTAAAAACTTACAATTTAAATAGTAGTGTATGTTCTTATATCCTGTGACTACTGTCCTAAATATGGTAATACGATTAGTACTGGTTACTTTGCTGCATGGAACTTCAGGACTTAGTCAATTTATTTAATGTTTCATTGACATCACTATCAATGAAGGCACAGTCAAACTCATTACATTTCAGGATTATAATTAATATGGTTTATTTCATCGTGTGAATTACAATAATTGCTTACAGTCCTATAAGCACATTTAATGAGTATTTTTTATTAAAGTTATTTGAAGCCTTATGAACAAAATTACTACTAAAATAAGTATAGTTATGATAAACACTAGCTTCAGAATTACCATGTTGATTATATAACATAGTATGTAAAAATAGCAAACTAGATACTTGTTCACATTCAATAGTAAATTCTATACCTTTTATTATTAAATTATTTCAAAAATTCTTCAGTGTGACTGTGATTGAAAAATGATAAATGTATAATTAATTTATCTTTTATAATAAAGTGGCCTAAATTCTACAGGACACTCTTTTAGCCACTATTCTTCATAAAAGCTCTAAGTTAACCATAAGCAAGTGCAAGCATAGAAACTGTACTTAACACTATCAATCTGATAATAATTTGTTACATTAACTCTTTCGAGATGGGTTATAGGTGAAAGGCCATGTCATCTTGTTTGTTGACTCGTATTCAAAATCTTATTGAACTACTATTTCATGAACTTATGTCAGTAACTTTGGTATCAAACTGTAGATTATAATTCAAATTTTAGAACTATACATTACTCAATTTCTTAATTTAAACCTGCAAAAAAAGTATTTTGTTTCATATCCTCCATGTGCAAAATTTTTAAAGGCTTATCAACTTACGTCAAACAGCAACCAAGTACAGAGGTGATAACTAGAAGAGATAATTGTTTGCTTTTCTTTTTTATTTACTGTTCTATGTTTTAGTAAAAATTTGTTTAAGAATTTATTTCAAAATAGCAATAATCTATATACATATATAAGGTACAATAATTGAAATGTGACTAAAACACAGCCAAAGCAAGTTACTTTGTTCAGACCAAAGGTCACCTTTATGTTATTTGATACGGTAACATGAGTGCACGTGAGCCGCATCATTGTAACTTCTGTATCGTTAGCCAGGCACTGGTGAAAGGTCAATATAACAAAAATAAATAAATAAATAAATATATATATATATATATATATATATATACACACACTGCGT